CCAAGCAGCAGGTCTGACATTGAAACCTTCGAAGATTTCGTTTGGCCCCAAGTCCATCGAGTGTTTGGGACATATTATTTCGGCTAAAGGTATTTCTGTTGGGAAGGATCGTATTAAAGCCGTCCAAAACCTTCCTACTCCTCGTTGCCTGAAAGATCTTCGCTCAGTACTCGGGGTGGTTAATTTTGTGCGCCGGTTCATACCGGATTATGCAGAAATAACCAATCCGTTGGTGGAGTTAACTCGCAAAGAGTACGCCACGAAATCACGTTTCGTAAAAGCTTGGAACAAATCGCACGACGCATCGTTCGCTCATCTAAAGCGGTTATTAACTTCAGCGCCCGTTCTACACTTCCCAGACTTCGATCGGGAATTCGTAGTTCATGTGGATGCATCCGAACATGGGTGTGGCGCGTTTCTTGCCCAGCCGTCCAAGGCCGATCCAGAGTCTCTTGACATGATTGCGTATTATAGCCATAGATTCAAATATGGACAGCGTCATTACTCTGCGTCTATGAAAGAGGGTTGCGGTGTGGTTCTTGCAATTTCGCATTGGCGACCGTACTTATTTGGGAAACACTTTACGGTGATCACTGATTATCAAGCGTTGACTCATCTTTATATGCAAGACACCAGCAACATGCTACTCGTTGGGCTATCGCTCTTCAAAATTATGATTTTACCTTCAAACACGTAGCGGGAAAATCGAACGTCGTACCCGATACGTTATCTCGAGAGTCCATATCACACAAACCGGCCCTAGCGTCGATATGTAGGAATGTGCCGAGTGATCGTCCGTACCATCCTCCTGACCCTCGTGAGTACGAAATTTCTGCCGATTCGTTGAACGATGTTGATATCGTCCATAATGACAACGAACTGTTCGCTAGTGCTGTATCGTTATTTCCTGTACTGGATCCCGCTAAATTGCGAAGAGAACAGTACAAAGAGTTCGGTCCGTATATCGACTACGTCAAGAAACCCAAAACAGCACCGTTACCGTCTAGCGAAAATAAAGGCACCATGAGTAATTACTTCTTGAATGAGAACGTTCTATTCAGGTATATACCAAGGTATCTTCGTAAACGCTGTTCGTTTCGTGATCAACTTGTCGTTCCCACCGTTTTGCGTGCGTTAGACTTGGATTCTTGTCATGATGCTCCTGCGTCAGGGGGTCATCTAGCGTTCAAAGCCACGTACGATAGACTCAGAGATCGTTTTTGGTGGCCGACCATGTCTAGAGATGCGTCCAAACACATCCAGCATTGTTTGTCGTGCCAACACCGAAAAACGTCCCACAGACGACCGTTATTACCTGTGGGTCACCGTCCCGTTACTCGTCCGTTTCAGTGTGTCGCGATCGATCTCGTTAAATATGAGTCCGTATCGCAGGGTTGCAAGTACGTCTTGTCGGTCATTGATCACCTGACTCGTTTTCTCGTGTTGATTGCTATTCGTGATAAAAAAGCAACAACAATTGCACAGGCTCTCGTAGAGCGTGTCTTTTCCGTTTTTTCTCCCCCTGAAACGTCACACAGTGATCAGGGCACTGAGTTCGAGAATGAGTTGGTTAAAGAGTTGCAGGCCGTGTTTGGTTTAAAAAAAAGCTCGGACGTCCGCGTATCGGCCGCAAGGCAACTCTGTATTAGAGCGCGTGCACAGCACAATGCATGGCATGCTCGCAATGTATGCAAACGTTCGGTTTGATAATTGGGCTGAGCTTTTACCGTTTGTGCAACTCGCCCATAACACCGCGTACAACCAAACTCTTGAGGAAACTCCTCACTATCTGATGTTTGGTCGCCAGGCTTTGCTTCCCGTGGATGTCATTCTTGGTGTACCGTCTCATGATAGCTCTGCTTCGCGTATGGAATATTCACGTCGTACCGTGGATAACTTGCAACTCGCGTATGAGATCGCTCGTCGTAATTTGAAAGAGCGAACTGACAAGCAAGCAGACTCGAACGAAAATTTATCCGTACCGCAGTTTACTCCTGGGGAACAAGTTCTCGTACATCGTCCCCACACCGTTATGGATGGCCCCAATCCCAAGCTGATCAGCCCTTGGCATGGCCCATTCACCGTTCGTTCAAAAGTATCACCCGTCATCTATCGTGTTTGCAAAGACGGAGAACTCGCGGAAACGTCAGTACACTTGGGTCGTATGAAAAAGTACTGTGCTTTTCAACGTGATTCTGTCCCCGATTTTTCTAACANTCGCGTATGAGATCGCTCGTCGTAATTTAAAAGAGCGAACTGACAAGCAGGCAGACTCGAACGAAAATTTATCCTTACCGCAGTTTACTCCTGGGGAACAAGTTCTCGTACATCGTCCCCACACAGTTATGGATGGCCCCAATCCCAAGCTGATCAGCCCTTGGCATGGCCCGTTCACCGTTCGTTCAAAAGTATCACCCGTCATCTATCGTGTTTGCAAAGACGGAGAACTCGCGGAAACGTCAGTACACTTGGGTCGTATGAAAAAGTACTATGCTTTTCAACGTGATTCTGTCCCCGATTTTTCTGAATTGGATGAGATGTTTTTGGGACAAACCCTTCCAATTCCCGATTTGGATGGTACCGTGTTTACCGTAAAAATTGGACCGTACGTCGTCGAGGATAGACAAAGTTAAACGTGGAGCAGGAAAACCGTCTCTCCATAACTTCCAATATTATTTCCTCCTCAAAGACCGTCCTGAAAGTCTTGGGTGTTGGAAGCACTTCAAAGAAGTACCCCAGTGTCACGAGATGATCCGTTCATATCGAGCGTGCGTTCTTCGTGATAATCCGCACGCCTTTGATCATCTTCCTAGAAAGTAGCACTCGTAGCTGCTTCGTATCGTGTTTCGTGCTGCGTTTGCCTTATTCGTTTCGTGTTTCGTTTATTTTACAAGGGCTTTGTTTATTTTTTATATTTTTGTATGTACATACTTCGTATATTTCATTGTTCGTCATCCAGCACGATCGTTCGTAGTGCCCGCCGTCCCCAACGTTCCTTCGCAGTCCGGCCGGACATTGACGTTGTTGGTGGATACGCCCACGTTGGATGCAACACCTCGTGGAAGTCAGCAGGCGGAGCCTAGTTTGCGTCGAGGTTCGCCCTCCGCGATCCAAGCATGGTTGCGTGTCTTCGTTTCGTCGGACATGCATACACCATTTTTAAGGCATGACGTTGCCCGTTCGTTGTGTGATTTGATTTTACTATACATTTCTCTGTTTGAATGCCGTACGACATAGTACCTCGTGCGAGCTCCGTAAACGTTTTCAATTATGATTGGAACGTACGTCCGTGTATAGACAATCGTGCGTGGTGTGAAGCGTCCATTACCGTTGTGTCGATGTCCTTGAGATACGAGTGCGTCGGGTGGGGTCAGTTGATACTTTATGTAGGCGAATATGCGCGATCAGAAGTTCGTCGTTTTCTCGTCCACTCCGTCCTGAATTGGGGGGTGATATCGTCTCATTTGCAGTTTGGGGGAATTGCAATTGATAATCGACTTCTGGATCCATGCACTTTCGTATTGTTCGCACGGTTTTGTTCATGCCCGATTTGTCTTGTCGTTTGTGTGGTGTATTTTCATCCCACACATCGTTTCTCGCGTGCCGTCCATTGCGAAGGAGTAGGTGGTGGTCTTGGCCGTGCAAGAGGAAGCACAAGAGGACCGGACTTTCATTCCACTACTGCGTCAAATCCATGCTACAGCACATCGTTTTGCGAAGGTGTACCGATTCAGGTAAAAGTCAATCGACGGATACCCTGCGAATCGGATTCGTTCGTTGTTGCCGCTGCATATCGTTTGAGCAACGTTTTCCCAGCGGGTCGACCCACGTCATTTGCCATTCGACACTTGTGAAATTTAAGCCTTGCAAGCAACCGCCTTTCAAATGTGCAATGTCAAATTTTTTTTCGTTGCTGGATGTTCGTTACGTGCAACTACCAAGCAGTTCACGGCGTTGTCTCAAGGTACTACTGTAGTGTTTTTTTACACTATCGGTGCAAGACGCGCACCGGAGTGAGTGATGTTTTTCCTGTAGACACGTCGTTCGTCGTACGGTAGATCACATGTTGCCTACAGCGCCGAGGCGGACTGAAGTGACATGTTCCGTACACCTTTCGTCATCTGTGTAGTTATTCAATCGTCGTGCGGGAATAGTTGCCAAAATTCCTGAATTGCTCTCGTGCAAGCTGTGGTGGTGACTGCGCTATGTACGATCGATGCTCGGATGAGATATTTTGGTGACACGTTCCAAATTTCATAACTACAAAACACAAAGCGTTCGTTGAATGATGGCAGTCGCCGTACGTTTCGGCCCAAGTCATTTAACTCATGTTTTTCATCAGTACTTCACAATTTCATACAATCTGAGGTATTTATGTCGTTCTTGTATCTTTCAATCCGGATTCAGGCCGCNAATTTCATAACTACAAAACACAAAGCGTTCGTTGAATGATGGCAGTCGCTGTATGTTTCGGCCCAAGTCAATTAACTCATGTTTTTCATCAGTACTTCACAATTTCATACAATCTGAGGTATTTATGTCGTTCTTGTATCTTTCAATCCGGATTCAGGCCGCGAGATTGAAGATAGGGGGGTGATGTGAATGCCACCTCAGACTGTCGTAGATTGTGACGTCAGATGACCTGTCGGAGATCTACCTTCGGGGTGTTACCAAAGATAGAGTCAGTGCAGGTTGGATGCTGAACCTTGTTTCAACACAAGGTTGATCCCCACCTGCCACACTCACACAGACTCGACTCAACGTTCCGTACATCAGCCTCTCCACCAGAGGTTGATCCGGTGTGTATCCACACCGCCCATCCCTAAGGGAACTTGCTCACACGCGAACCTGGAGACAACAGTCTCATAGGGCTAAAGAAAAGAAAAGGTCCTTCCAGTCAAGGGCTTGTTTGTACTAATACCGACCACATGTCAAAACTTCAGATTCCAACTCGTAATAGTCGTGATGTAATTGCGATAACCTCACATTCCTTGGATATTTTGTGTGTTGTGTCGGATTCTGTACGAGGCCACATCTCTCGGTAGAAGATTATTTGAGCCTTGTAACAATCATCATTTTTCTCGCACTGCTCCCAGGTAAGTCACACCAAATTTCAGCTTGTTCGGTGTAACTTTTGTTACGCTGATTTCAGTACGGGAGGTATCCCCCCCCTACGCCGCCAACTGGTTTAGTACCTTAAGGGGGGGCAGAAGAGCAACATTGATGTTGACGAATTTTGAAAACAAACGCAAGAGGTCCAGAAATTGTACGACAGACACACAAGACCAGTCGGGAGGCATCGCGAAAAACAGCAATCGTTGATCCTCGCACAGGGCGGCGGTAGAGGCTGCTCAAAACATACATTTCACGCGTCTACCTCCACAGGCCTCCCTTGAAATCAAGATAAAAATTCACACCACTCTAAATTCAAGTCAATGGAGCCAAAACGGAAGGCGCTCCAACAAGGTCAGTTTTGAGGGTTAGGTTAGGCATTCTACTGTCAGCAGGAGAGGACATCATGAAGAGGCGTCGTGCGTGCTGGCACGTTCAGGTTTGCTACTGGAGCTGAAATATCGAAGATCGCAGCAGCCTTTGAAAACAGTCCGAAATCTGCGCCGGAACTAAGCGGCATCCAACATTTGTCACAGCCATGCTCGCCGCCGCCGACCCCAATCTCCTGAACTACGGGTTTACAGCAGCAGCTAATGCCACTAGCTACTGCTGAAAACCCGTAGTTCAGGGGTTTACGGTCCGTGGCGGTGAGCATGGCTGTNAAACATACATTTCACGCGTCTACCTCCACAGGCCTCCCTTGAAATCAAGCTAAAAATTCACACCACTCTAAATTCAAGTCAATGGAGCCAAAACGGAAGGCGCTCCAACAAGGTCAGTTTTGAGGGTTAGGTTAGGCATTCTACTGTCAGCAGGAGAGGACATCATGAAGAGGCGTCGTGCGTGCTGGCACGTTCAGGTTTGCTACTGGAGCTGAAATATCGAAGATCGCAGCAGCCTTTGAAAACAGTCCGAAATCTGCGCCGGAACTAAGCGGCATCCAACATTTGTCACAGCCATGCTCGCCGCCGCCGACCCCAATCTCCTGAACTACGGGTTTACAGCAGCAGCTAATGCCACTAGCTACTGCTGAAAACCCGTAGTTCAGGGGTTTACGGTCCGTGGCGGTGAGCATGGCTGTGACAAATGTTGGATGCCGCTTGGTTCCGGCTCAGATTTCGGACTGTTTTCAGAGGCTGCTGCGACCTTCGATATTTCCGCTCCAGTAGCAAACCTGGACGTGCCAGCACGCACGACGCCTGTTCATGGTGTCCTCTACTGACGACAATAGAATGCCTAACCTGGAAGGTTGTTTTCTTTCTTTGTATAGGATTAAAGTATAGGGAAAGAGCCAGCGTCAAAACCGCTTTTCTGCCCCCCCTTAATCAACTCAGATTCGAACAATTCTGGCACCTGCGCTTCCCATACTGTCATGAGAGCAGCCAAAAAATGTCAAGCGCAAATTCGTGGAAACGACAGCATGAGACTCGAACGAACGAAAGTGAGCTTTTCGCCTGGCCCAGCTTGTAATCCACAAGTTAGCCAGCAGACCATCCAGGGAAAGTGGAGCAGGGGTTCTTCGGTGCAATTCAGGATGTGGTGGGATATGTGTGACCACTCTCGGGCATGTGGCTGCCACAGGTGCTGCATGCTACCAGTTCAAGTCGTCCAGGCGTTGCCATCATCATCAGGTGTCTTGCGTGCGAAAAAACGGCGGCAGATGGCTCGTGCAGCCGTTGTAGACTATGCGGGACCAGAGGTGTGTCGAAAAGACGGCAAGCTGCCCCGTGACCATAACTCAAAAAGCAAGTCTTCCAGAGCACTCTCGAGGGTGCGGATTGCATGACGAGCACCGCCTGTTCTAGCCGATACCTAGCACATGTGTTTGATGTGCGCTCGTCAACAGCTTGCTTCAAAACCTATACCACTCCTCCTTCCTCTACCCCCCCACTCGTCTTCGTGCATCCAATGGCTGCATTTGTTGCCTTCGAGTGCCTGCGGGCCGCCCTGCCGCGCGCGCTGAACTACTACTGTTCACGAGAGTTGGAACAGGGAACAGGGAATTCCGAGTTTCCTGTTTTCCTGTTCCCTGTTCCCTGTCCAGAAAAGTGCAGCCCCAACGCATGTACAGAGTAAAACACGCACCGTTGATGGTCTTGATGGGAAACGCTGCCACCATGGCGAGGCCCAGGAGCGTAGAACTAGCGGGGAGCTTCATGGATATATATCGAAGCAGGCTTGCTTTGGGAGAGTGTGTGGACGAGGAAAGCGAGGAAGAGCGCCCGGATAGACTGTGTTTTTTTTTTTTTTGTCTCGCATCATTGGATTTTGTCGACTGCCCCTCTGGCCCCTATCCTGCACTTCTACCAGCTAGACGACCAAACCGGTGTCACATAGGACTGTGTTTTTTTGTTTTTGTTTTTCTCCCATCATTGGACTCTCTCTGTCGTCTGCCCCTCTGGCCCCTATCCTCCACTTCTACTAGCTAGACGACCCAACCGGGGTCACATAGAAGGGGGGGGTTGGACCCCCTCCTGCGGTTCATGCCTGAGGTATTTTTATCGCGAGAGGGGTACAGCAATCCCTTCCCTCGCGACTTACGAAGTCGATTATGGTTTACTAACAAACGAGCTTTGCAGCGCGTCGCTTTCATCCTAGATCAGGATGTATTTAGTGAGAAAAAAACTCTCTCTGCCGGGACTCGAATCCATGACCTGGCCCTTAGTAGGCTGCGAGGCTACCCACTAGACCACCGGGGCGACCGATGTGTGTGTTTGTGTGAAAGCGCGCGACTTTTCATGGTTGCAGTTGTGGTGCGACAAAGTGCGGCGTGACTACCAGAAGTCTGAGCAAGGTTCTGGGAATATGATTGTGGCTCCCCTGCTACATACGAAAAACGGGATATCTATCTCGAAGAACGACATGTCTTTTGAAAAACTCCGTGGCTTCTGGGGAAAAGTTGTGTGGTTGAGACCTTGGCTTGAGAGATAGATTAGCAAGTGGGGTGGGCGTAGGCGGCGAGCACCGCAGCACCAGCCATGTCGCTCGACCAACGCACACAACCGGAACACAGACCGGTACACAATAATATCGGAACACAAATCTTGAACAGGGGCTAGTCTACACAGCAGTAACGTACTTCTTCACAACTTACCATGAATCCTCTGGCTAATGCACTATCAACCCACAAAGCGCACCAGCATTCTACCCTGTCGATCCTGACAATAGATTACCCTCCCCGCGTGATACACCTTGGGATGACAGCACGGCATGTCTTTTGAAAAGTCCGTGGCTTGTGGGGAAAGCTGTGTGGCTGAGACCTTGGCCTGAGAGATAGACGAGCAAGTGGAGTGGGCGTAGGTGGCGAGCACCGCAGCACCAGCCATGTCGCTCGACCAACGCACACAACCGGAACACAGACCGGAACACAATAATATCGGAACACAAATCTTGAACAGGGGCTACACAGTACCGTACTTCTTCACAACGTACCATGAATCCTCATGCTAATGCGAAGGTGTACCGATTCAGGTAAAAGTCAATCGACGGATACCCTGCGAATCAGGTCCTCCTTAACACTCTCCACCCACAGAATTTACCCTCAACTGGGAACCTCTTGTGGCCAGGATGGGTAATTCGATGGAAGTGTCACAAGGTTCTTCGTAGGATCGACTCCAACAGGTTCTCAGGACTGACACACATTTATTTTTTTTTCTCCCATCATCGGATTCTGTCGTCTGCCCCTCTGGCCCCTATCCTCCGCTTCTACTAGCTAGACGACCCACCCGGGGTCACATAGGAGGGGGTGGCTGGACCCCCACCTGCGGTTCCTGCCTGACGGATTATGAAAAGCGGAGATTAGGAAAAGGAACGTTCCCCATCTTCCTTCTACCATAAAGATCCACGGAATATAGGAAAGTCGTGCACAGCTCTTCACTCCCTTTTCTGTCACGTGTCCGAGACAGGAAAACCAGAGGAAAGAGGACATCCTTTGAGACGCTCAGTCCACCGCTCCCACACCCCGCTCGTTAGCCCGATCGGTGCGTGTGACCTTTCGTCTCCTGCAAGATTTGTTTTCCCCTGTTTTTTAGCGCTCTCTCCTTGAATCATGAGCGCTATCGCCGGGTTTGACCCTGCCGTGTTGGAAGTCCCCACCGAGTACGACGAGTTCCTCGACATCTTCGCCAAGGCGGCCACGCCGGGCGGCGTCCGGGCCATCAACCTCCACTGCATCGGCGCCCTTCCGCACGGGCGTCCGCTGGAGGGCGCGTCTCTCGACGGCGTGTCGGCGCTTTCCTCGCCCTCACGCAGGCGGGTGACGCAGCCACGCCCCCCGAGATTTTCAAGGTCGGCCTGGCCGCTCGTGCCGCAGGAGTGTCCGACGAGGACAACGACGCCCGCGTGAAGCGGGCCCTCGTTCAGGCACTGGTATCGTACCTGTTGCGATGCACGGACCATGGCGGCCTGAAAATGTCCACGGCAGGCGCATACCTCCCGGCCGACCCGGCCACGTCAGGCCCTCCCGCAGCTGCCGCGTCCGCCAAGGAGGCCCCGCCCATCGCGCACCCTGACATCGCCGGCACCAAGCGCCTTCTGGACGAGATCTCCCGGGGAAGGAACGGTTGGGATGCGGCGAGCGCGAGCTCACCTAGCGAGGCGGGAGCGGGCGAGCCTAGCCTCAAGCAGTCGCTAATCTACGTCAGCGTCTCGGCCAAGGTGAGTCCTTTGTTGTGCGTTTGATTTTTGCTCTTTTCGGCGACCCACCTGCGATTACGGCAACCACCACTTTTTCGTTTCTCGTGACGGCTGTAAT